CAATCAACCCTCATCAAGACAAGGCTCCCAACACTAGATCTCATCCTAGGTTTTCCTAGGGCAAACTCCACACTTTTCTCCGCCATCAGCTGTAGAAGGAACTCCCACTAACTTCCTCTAACTAGCTCACATATACAATTACATATCACTAAAACCAGATAATTCTTCAAATGAAAGGTACAACGGTTGGACTTAGACAAGAGCTGCGCAATAAAGTTAAAACCTAACCTTCTAAAATTATTTAGTTCCCATAATATGTAACTTAGCATATTCGCTTACTAGTTAAGTGAAGTTAGTGAGAGCTCCTAGAAAGCACAGAGAAAGTAGCATTCGAGCATCAAGTAATCGGAACCAAGCATCACATAATCAGGCCATCCTATCATTAACTGATCAATACTAGAATGTAAGTGTACAAGCTCATACAATAGGCATATAAATGCATCTCTCCTAGCATTCTATCATGCAAAAACTGAGTAGATCCTTAGCCCTCACTAGCATACGATTCACAGATTCACATATCATATTATATCAGATAACATGTATGGGTATTTTGGGAAAACTTACTTGAGCTCGGTCGATTGCATGCACCACACCCTTTCTTGTCTTAGAAAGTTCCTTTCTTTAAAACATTATTTTGAAATCTTTACCAAATCCTCAGTTTGAGTTCAGACACACCCGAGAGTATGTCTGAATCCCTTAAACCAATGCTCTGATACAAACTTGCAACATCCCAAAAAAAGACGATAAATTTTTTCATTTTAGATTAATAAACATCAACCATATCATTATCATGAAACCAAAGTTATCACAATGTATTGATACATCATCAATATCAGAGTAAAACACGAAATGTGGAAACATGTGGTGTGCGCTCTGCAATCATCCAGGTCTCTTCCCTTTGGAACTGGAAGTATCTGAAACATAAATTGAAAACCATAAGCATGAAGCTTACTGAGTTCCCCAAGATACCACATACCACACATACATAAATAAACACATACCGGGCCCCACCTGACATAGAGCCCCGCTCGGTATACAGATCGGGCCTCGCCCATAATACATATAAACATATAAAATATAAACACATACACATGTAATAATCATAAAGATACATAACATACAAAATGGTCATCAGGCCTCGCCCGACATCGGGCCCTACCCGGTACGCATAAGAGTACATAACACATGCAAGAGTCACGCAGAACACTAGCATCCTAACATTACAAAAACATGGGTTGATATTGGTGCTTTCGACCCGCTAACCATAGTGAGGAAACTCACTTCGCACTTTCAAATCTCACAGACAGAATCTCTAGCTACTAGCCCGCTAAAATCCCCCCACTTTCAATTACAAAATAATAATCCAATCAATAACTGGATCCCAACTCACACAAAGAGTCTAACCTAGGGTAACAGACCTTTTTGCCCTTCCCTATGATTGGCCTAAGGCCCAAGTCCAATCCAAAATGTCTAAAAGCCCAAAATTCCACAATAATCATTTCAAGCCCAATTATGGCCCAATTTTCCAAATTGGGCCCAAATCTCTTTCATTGGCCTTTTTCCAATCAAACTTAAACAAGCATCAGCCTAAAACCTAATGGCACAACAAGTCCCTAAGCATCAAAGTCCAAAAATGACCCAAACTGAAGCCCAAGAATCTGAAGCCCAATCTGTTGAGTACGTGGGGTGTACTTATCACATACACGTAACATATGCTTTAGGGCGCATACGCTAATCATACTTGCTTATACACCCAACATTCTCCTCCTATATGGCCAACTTCCATTTTCCAACTCTTAATTGATTAAGACCTCCATCTAAACTCAAATCTAACTTCCTTAAGATGGTTTATCACAAAACGTTACCAACTTTACGTGCATGCATGACTTAATGAGGCTCTTAGAGCTCAAAAGAGCTTAATGAATGACTTAATGCATGCATGAGACCATAAACACCATAAAGTTTTAACCTTTAAGCATAAGGAGCCCTCTAAACATCTAGATCTACAAGATTTAGTTTCTAAAATGGTTTTAACCCATGAAGACTAACCAAAAAGTGACAAGGAAGCATAAAGCCATAACATGAAGAGATCTAAGCAAAGATTAGACAAGGTATGAACTTTATACCTCAAAAGATTTGCAAATGGAGTGATGATTATTGATCTATAAGCTTCACACTAAGCAATGCACCTTCAACCTTCTTCTATCCCTTCAAAATGAGCAAAATAAGCACCATCTTCTTCTCAAGAGCTCAAAGATACAAAATGATGGCTAAGGTTTGGAATTTAGGGTTTAGGAGGTATGGAAGATGGTAAACAGGTCAACCCTAGGGAATTAAAGAGTTTATATAGGGTGAACACCCCAAAATTAGGGTTTCATTAAAGCCTCGTATGCCCAACGTACGAGGCCTCAGTCCCGCAATAAAATCCCACTTAGTACACTAAGCGTACCATGTGGTATGTCCCGCGTATTAACCCCACGGACCAAATTGCAATAATTAAACACAAAGGGGCTAAAAGGAACATACCCAAATACAAGTGTTGCACGTTATTAAAAAACTTTCGGGAAAAAAGATTCTCGCGTTCTAATGAATAAATGAGTTCTCAAAATACTTTGAACATATATATATATATATATATATATATATATATATATATATATATATATATATATATATATATATATATATATATATATATATATATATATATATATAGAGAGAGAGAGAGAGAGAGAGAGAGAGAGAAAAGGGATGGGAGGTTCAAAATATAACCTTAGATTGTTGTATCAATGGATTAAATTAAAAAGATGTATAATAAAATTATACATTAGTCTTTATGGCATCATCACAACCATCATTTTTTATTCTTTGATCTCCCTCCCCCCGGATTTGGACTCCATTACAGTTTCCAGAATCGACCATCCACCTCCACTGTTGCCGGCATAGAAAGATATGCAATAAGGGGGAATCCCTTCCATTATGTGTGTTTAGCTCGAAACCAATGGCTGAAAGATTTTTTTTTGGTAATGGTTTACCTTCTATCTCGTGTCAATTGGTACACAATAGTCATAATAAAAAAAAAAATAAAGAATGACTATAAGTGTGTTACTGGTGACGTAATTAAAATACAATTGATATAGCTCCAAAACTCTACCATATAGTGATGGTTTTACACATATCAACTTTTTTTATGGGTTATAGTCACCACAATTAAACGTGACCATAACTGGTCAAAAATCACTCAATATTTGGTCACGCTTTGAATGAAAACTAAAACTATGTCAAAAACTATCTAGAGTCACGTTTTTTTTTTTAACAAAAGGAATCTTACTAGATGCATTTGTACTTTGTAATTGATACAATTTAGTCATTTTGAAGAACTTTCATGGATAAAATGGCTTACAGGTCAGATACATGATACAATAATACATCATTACATCCATAATAATATCTGTCCAATTTACATGACATAGGAAAAGATCTTAAAATTAATGTTTTGGGAAAAATAAATGGAGAAAATATACATTATGGTACACCTCTTAATCCATGTGCACCAGATCGTGTTCTTGGTGGATCTTCAAGTGGCTCTGTTGTAGCAGTTAGTGCCAAACTTGTTGGTTTCTATTTAGTTGAGTTTACAGGGAATGTTCTTTTTGGACTAAATGAAATGAGAGTAAATGACCATTTTACCCTTTTTTCTATATGTGTAGGCACTGAAACAGGTGGAAGTGTAAGAGATCCTGGATCATACTGTGGAAACTTTGGGTTTCACCCATCTCATGGAATTCTTTCCACTAAAGGAGTTATTCCCATGGCATAGAGTTTTGATACTGTTGGTAAGTTTTAATAATTGTTATTTTCATTGATAGGGAATCAAATAATGTATGATATGATTAAATTATGTGGAAACTATGTTATAAAAACTTGTAATTTGGAAATTCAATGAAGGATGGTTTTCTAGGGATGTTGGGAGTTTAAACCATGTTGGGAATATATCAATCAAGAAGTTATTCGGAGGTAATCGTTTGATTTTGCATGTAAAACGACCATTCTTATAAACGAGTTTCAAGGTTTGCACCATAAAAAACACTTCAAAAATAATGTTTCCAAATTACTGTGTCTTCACATGTACCCAATTTCATTACATTATTTAGTTGGTTTTCTTCTTTTTCCTATAGAGATCTCATATTAAGCTATTGTCTGATTAATGGCACCCAAAGGATATTAGAAGTACCATTAATTCACAAATAATCAATATGTTATTGTAATCGTCTATTTTCCATGGTTGAGTGTCAGATTCTAAGCATTACATTTTTCAGATTAATAGATAAAGTTAAGTATTTATTAATATTGATTACCTTTTTTCTATTTTTTGGTCACAATTTTTTTTTTCAGTTGCATGTAAATGTGGGTTAGGGTGTATGTACATTAGAATGTATCTGTATATTTATCAGAATAACAGTTTCATTGTCAAAGAAGGGAAATTCAAATTGGATCACTCGATAGAATGATTGGAAACTATAAACAATCAAAAATACATCTGTCGATTATATACTATATCTTTTTCGATAAATAAATCAATAAAACATTACTGTAAACTCTTTTCGCAAACAGTTGGCTTGAAATCCAACCCCCACAAAGCAGAGATCCTTCCCTAGTTTATAATTATTTAATTTAATAACCAATAAATAACAAATTAATTATTGTAATTCCATATTTTTTGTGAAAAACAAAATTATCAAGGATATCAATTAGGTTTCTTGCATGTTTGTCATCATGTATTTTCCTAAGGATCTCTATGCAGTGTTTTAATCGCTTTATGGGTCTATTGGTTGTTTTTCTCGACTTTTATGCGTATATATGTAAAAAAAAAAAAAAAAAAAAAAAAAAAAAATATGTACATACAATGTTATGCGTATATTATTAAAAAAAAAAAAAAAAAAAAAAAAAAGTTCAATTGCGCTAGCCAAAACCATCTTTGATCTCATTTCCTATTCAAACTCCCGATTTTTCACTTGTATGTGCACGAATCTCTCTCTCTCTCTCTCTCCTCTTCAATTCCCCAAAATACCCCTCGTCTCGTACTCCTACTAATTTAAACATTCTTTAAAAACTCGGGTTTGTGGAAATACTTCCGGTTCTTCTGTCGCGACCGCCACACGTACGCCAACGCACCAAACAGACAGCTGGCAACTGCAATGGCCATGGCAGCACCAACTGGCACCACAATCGCGGTTCCCGATACCAAATCATCCGAGTCCACCTGGCTTGTTATGCTGACGTGGCTGATGATGTCAGTGTCCTTGTCTTTGTAACTAGACACAAGCATGTTCCCATAGTAGTCAAGTAGGAACTTGAACACCTCATTGTGGTCCCAGTTTATGGAAGAATTGTTTTCTTTAGTTTGATTGTTGGAGTAACATGAGGGGCAAAGTTGGTTTGGAGGGAAGGGTATTTTGGGAAATTTGGGGTCACCGGTTCCAAGAAGGGATTCGGTTTTCATTAGTCTTTCGTTGACTTTGTTGTGGACTGTCCATAACCAGAGGACAAATTCGCGGGTTGTGTTTAATGGAGTTGAAACACTGCAAATTGGAGTGTTTTTTTTTTTTTTTGGGTAAGGATTCATAAATTACAACTTTGGTCCCCGAGTATAGCTGATTTTGCAATCTTGGTCCTTAAAAGTTTTTTCTTGCAATTTTGCTCCACATTTGAAGTTTTGTAACATTTTAATTCAAAGTTTTAATGGTTAAATACTAAAAGAATTTTCATGGAGCAGTTAAAGTGAATAAAATCCAAATTATTGTAGTTTTATAGAATTTATAATTTTTAGGTGGTAACTTTTTTTAATAAAAAAAAAAGCCTAAGGTAAAGTGATTTTTATGGAATTTGGGCTTATAATAATGGAGAAAAACTGTAATTTTACATGAACAAGGTTCAAAAACGTTACATGAATCTCAAATAAGGAAAAAATTGCAAGAGAAAACTTTTTGGGACCAAATTTAAATGATTGTATATACTCAGGGACTAAAACTGTAATTTACTCTAAAAGATTTGAAAAATGGAAATTGAGAATAAACCTTGAGCACATTTTATAAAAATGTTGACTACATTCTTCACAGATGAAAAACTTGTGAATAAAATCACAGGTGGCTTTGAAGGCAATTTGGCTCTCTTCATCATCTACTCTTACAGAAAGTGAATGTAATAGCACCCATAACCCACAACTGTAAAGTGGCAAATTACTTAAATACCCTTTTGTGAAGAAGTTGAAGAAGATTGTTTTAAATGGTATACCTGAAGCCTCTAGTATCCTTCTTGCTACCACGACAAAACATCTACATTTCAAAAATCATAAACAATAAGTTCATGGTTTTTCTGTAATTTTCTCTTTAAAGAATATATAAAATATTTTTTACCCAATATCCACGTGGAACTTGTTTTCCACAAATTTGAAAGGTGCTTAGAGCATCAAGTCCAATGATATTATCCACTTCATGATTGTTTATTGATGATATATTTGAAGGGTATAAATCGTCAAAGTTCACAAGTATGTTAGCACTTCCCTTTCTACACCTGAATTTTTATATATTTACATTTAAAGATTATAAAAAATAGAAACTTTGAAGAAAAAGAATAAGGAAAATGTGGGATATGAATATGAACCTTCTAGAAGGGTGATGAGCCACCATAAGTTGCAAAAACTTTATAAAGATAGCACGAGTATCCGATTTAATCATCTATAAAAAAAAACCAATATAGAAAAAAGAAAATCAAAAATTGAAAGTGGAAAAGTACATTGATATTATCTGCAATTTGTCTAAAATAACCTTGTGTTCCAAAATAATGTCAAAGGCAATGGTTGTGGATTCTTCAACATCATATATTGCACGAGCTACCTAAAGACATTTTCAATAAGTTAATAACTTATATAAGCTTTTTAATATAAAAGAATTTTGTTTTTAAATATTAAAACTGGAATTTAAGTATTTGAAAAAGCATTTCACAATGTATAAAACCTGTCCAGAGTCTGAGACATTTGATTGAAGAAGCTCATCATGTTCAAATTTCTCATCTTCTAACTCATATGAACTTAAAAATAAAAGAAAAAGATATTGTTATAACACACGCATAAAGTAGAAAACAAAACAGATACAGACAATAAAGCAGAAAGCAGATATACAGAACATATCTAAATTCTATAATATTCTACCTTTTTAATTGTGTATTAATCCAATTGAGAAGGAGTTTAGATGATTCCCAATCTTCAACCAATTTTATTTCACTTTTTACTTTTTTACCATTATAACGACCAGCAATGAGTTTAGCAGGTGGGCCCCATAAGAGCACTGGGAAATAGTGCACAGAGAATGCTGTACAAAGTTTAGTATTTGCCTGTGTTGCCAAACATGTTTAAAGATGAAAATTGATATATATAATTGATAATTTTTTAGTTTTAAAGGGGAGAATGAAAATTCTAAGTAATGATATTGATACCTTATGGGCACAGTCTAGTCTTGTCATCAAGATAATCCCAGGATGAATTGCATTTGCTCCATTGAAAAGCCTTGCAACTTTTTCATATTGAGGCTGAAAAATTAAAGCTTACATGATAAGAAATGTAGCAAGTTTGTTGAGTACTTTGAGATGAGATTGATTTACAAAATTAAGATGGAAATACCTTGTAGTTCCTGCAAGCTGGGCACCTACAATGGAAAGAAGTAATAATCAATAATGGTTGTTCTTATTCATGTTTATGTAAGTCTCTTTCACGCAAACAAATAACTCGATAGTTTTCCCAAATAGAAGGAGGCCTCCTTGTGAGTGAAAACAGGTAATCGTTTTGAGAAAAATGGATGAAAGTGTAACCAAATTGAGATTAATTCTGCATGCAGAAGAACAAGGTTTGATATCAATGATGAAATTGTATCTCATTGTACGCATTTACAAATTGCAACGTATTCTGATTCGTACGATATATGATTTTATCTTGATTCTTCCGTCAGTAGTCATTCCGAGTATTAAAACAAAATTGAAAATGAAACACAACTCCACACTAAGAGGAAAACCAAATCTCAAGCTAACATGACTAGGCGTGCAGTTTCTCAACCTTAGTAATGTGCGATTTCATAAACCCTAGAAATTAATAGTAGGAAAATTCACCAGTGAGCGAAGAATTCAATAATGGCGTAAGCAGCAGGAGTTTCCTTGAGAACTGCATCGAAATTGGTGCTGTTCAAATCAACCACCAAACTAGGTCGATCAGCGCCTCGTTTGATAGCACGTAGTATCGAACGTGATCCTAGCGTCGGGGAATTGGGCAAAGCGGATGATAACAATGATGACGAGTCGAAACTCCAGAGAACGAAAAGCGTAGTGAAAAACTTAAACATTGAAGAGATAGAGATTGAGGGATATAGAGTCACCGGCGGAAGAAGGTGCATGTGAGGCTACCGGCGCAGATTAGCAACACTGATGGTTGATCAACTATGGTGTTAGATGAGCAGGTAGAAGCAGACATGATTTTGTATACCGATTGATTAGCTCTCCATTGAAATGGCAAAATTACATTGGCCAAACCTTCGGACTCTGTTTTGTTTTTTATTCAGTATAATATATAATAATATAATAATGGGAAAATGAAATTAATTTTAGTTATTTTCATATTTGGTAACTATTTTTTTTTTTTTTATACATTTAGGTAACAAACTTGTTGGAAGTGTTTACATATGATCATTATGACCTGCTGTAGCAGGTTACATCCTAGATGTGAACACTTTTGACAAGTTCGTTACTTAGATGTGTAAAAAAAAAAATTACCCATGAACAAAACGAAAAGTAAGAGTAAATTACACGAATGGTCCTTGTGGTTTGGAAGAATTTGTGTTTTTGGTCCCTAACTTATTTTTTTTAATTCGGATGGTCCCTACAATTTATTTTTATTGTGCGTTTGATCTCTGTCTTATCTAAAAAGACTATTGTGCCCTTATTAATTTATTTTTTAATTAGTTTTCTTATTTATGTATTTATTTTTTATATATTTTTTTTAAAAAAAATAAACCTCACATATGTGTATCTCCTCGGATGATCTCTACTGTTTATTTTTTAATTAATTTATTTTTTAACTCGGATGATCTATACTGTTTATTTTTGTTATGTGTTTGGTCTCCATCTTACCTAAAAAGACTATTATGTCCTTATTAATTCATTTTTTAATTAATTTTCTTATTTAAGTATTTATTGTTTATATATTTAAAAAAATAATAGACCCTAAGAGTTTAAAAAAAAATAAGTTAGGTAAGATAGGGATCAAACGTACAACAAAAATAAACATTAGGTACCATCCAAGTTAAAAAAATAAGTTAGGAACCAAAAACGCAAATTCCCCCAAACCATAGGGATCATTCGTGTAATTTACTCTTACTTTTTTTTTTTTTCATATTTGGATAACTACGTTTTTTTACATATCTAGGTATCGAACTTGTTGAAAGTGTTCACATCTAGGATTTAATCTGCTACAACAGGTCATAATGCTCATATGTGAATACTTCCAACAAGTTTGTTACCTAGACGTGTACAAAAAAAATAATAATTACCCAAATGTAACATACCGAAAAATTAATTACCTTGATAAATCATTTTCCCTATACTAATATATAATATAATATTATATTTTTTTATTTTATTCCATTCTACTTTGTCTACCATAAAAAGAGTGTGTTACCTTACACGTGTTAATTCTAAAATAGGATACCCATGCTTCCTATGGGGATGAGGGATATACGAATTTTGACATTAAAACCAGTTTGATTAGTAGATACACAAGTATATAGATTTTGCCATAGGAAAACTCTAACACAACTGAAATAAATTTTATTTTCAAACTAAAACAACGATATACAAACAAAAACATATAAAAATTCATCTAAAACAATGTTTTCTGCATTTTTTAAACAAAAACAATCTATTATTATTATTATTATTATTATTATTATTATATATTTAAGACTAATTTCCACCAAATATTTTGTAACCAGTCGTTGAAATCTTAAATGCTACCACCACATTAGGCACCATGTCGAATTCCTTTGCAAAACTCCATAAGAATATAGCCTGAAGTTAGATATCTATAATCACAAAGAGAACAAAAACATAAATTGGTATTTGAATTAAATTTTAGATTTTTAGAAAAAGAACAAATTACTAAAATCGTCCCAATTGTTTGGTTAAAATTACGTGTTTGATCCCTAACTTATTTTTTGCACTCGGACCATCCTTGTAATATGATTTGGTTACGTTTTCGTCCCTAACACATTTAAAAAGACTATATTACCTTTTGTTTTTTTATTTTTAAGTTTTTATTATTATTTATATTATTAAAAAAACTGATAAAACATATGGGGCCCACTAAACTCTTTCATCTCCTCTTCCTACCCTAGACCCGTCATTCCCTTTCACTGAAAATCATTCCTCGTTTCTCTCCATAACCGGAGCTTTCGCCGGAACCCTAGATCTATACCACCGCTGCCATCGTCGGAACCCTAGATCTGCCATCATCTGGGGTGGAGTAGGTGGACCCACTTATTTATTAATCATTTGTAATTCGTTTATTTTAATTAATCAATAAAAATAAGTAACAAAAAACTGGAAAAGAAAATACAAAGGGCAATATAGTATTTTTATCTTTAGAAGAGACGAAAAACGCAAAAATATAATATGTTAGGGACGAAAAACGCAAGAATATGATACGCTAGGGAAGGTCCGAGTGCAAAAAAAAAAATTAGGGACCAAACACGCATTTTTGACCAAACCACAATGACGATTTCAGTAATATTAAGTTTTTAGAAATTTCATAAATCATTTTTTCAAAAATAAAATAACCTATGAGCTTTTCAAATACATCATATTTTTCAGAAATCTGATAAATCAAATTACTCAAAAATTAAAATAACCTCAACTTCTCATATACATTAGATTGTTCAGAAAACACCATATCATATTATTCAAAAATTTAAAAACATATCAGATTTTCCAGTAAAAAATCACATATCATAATTCACATATCCGATACAACCTAAAATTAGCTTTCCATAACCACAATATGAACAAAAACATAAATTGATATAATAATTAATATTTCAAATTTTCTTAAATTAAATTAACATCAGATTTTCAGAAATCTGATACATAATATTTTCGGAAATTAAAATAATTTATCATATTTTTCACATCAGATTATTCAGTTGTTAAAACAAACTATCGGATTTTCATATACATCAGATATTCATAAAATACAATATCATATTATTCAGAAATCGAAAACACATCAGATTTTCCAATCAGAAATCACATATCAAAAATTCAAAATTAAAATTCATGTATGCGAAATTCAAAATCAGAATTCTAACAACATACATATAAGATTATATAGAAATTAGAATCACATTAGATTTCCAAAATCAGAATCGACAACTTCACTGGAATTTAAGAAATTTTTATCATTATCAGAGTTTTGCAACTTGAGTTTTTCAATTTAAGCAAGAAATTACATGGGTCAATCATTAGGAAAAACATACTAGGATTAGTGAGATCGATTAGAAAGACTTGTTCATTCAATAACCCTTTTGAAACTTCACTTAACAGGACCGATTAGACTGGTGTAGGACCGTTTCACTCTTCCAATTTCACAGAGCTCTTAAATTTTTGGAGTATGTAATCGGAGATTAGAAGAAACAATTCAGAAAGAATGAATTTAGGAAGAGAAATTGAGTGATGAAGATTTTTAATTTGAATCGTCCATCGTCTTCTTTATATTTAATTATGGGTAAATAACACAAAAAAAAAAAATTTTACAGAGAAATTCGATTTTGACATCGTGTTTTTTTTTGTGTCAATTTTGACACTGTGTTTTCGAATTTGTTACAATTTTGACAACTTGATCGGTTAACCAGGTTACATGCTGACGTGGCATGATGATGTTTCAGTTTTGATGATGTGGCATGCTGACATGTCAAAATTGATTTTTTTTCCCACAAAAAACACTAAGTTTTCATTTTTATTTTTTTTTTATTTTGACACTAAGTTTATTTATTTATTTTTTTTTATTTTGACACTACGTTTTTTTTGTTCCAATCAAACATCATTTATCAAATTTTGTTCAATTTTGTCTGTTTTCCATTTGAAACCATATAAATATATTTTTTTATTACATTTTAAATCATATAAACATATTTTTTTTCGTTTAAAAACCATATTTTTATTTAAATACAAGGTGTTTTTTTTCTTACATTCAAAGCATTAGTTATATCATGAGAATCAAACTAACCATAAGCTTCTAATAAGATGTAAAAATTTGATGGGTTGCAAACTTGATATCCGAGTTTTGATCGACTACAAGCCTCCAAACCTCCAAACACATTTTAAAGTTGCATATTTAATATAAAATATAATTTTTATATAACTAATACATATTTATACATAAAAATATGGTTTGAGTGTAAAAAAATGTATTTATAAAAAACTATGGTTTTTAAATGAAAAAAAAAAACATATTTATACGGTTTAAATGTATTAAAAAAATATTTATACGGTTTCAAATAGAAAATTATCAACATTGAACAAAATTGGGAAAAATGATGTTCGATTTAGAACAAAAAACATAGTGTCAAAGTTGAAAGAAAAAATTAAACTTAGTGTCAAAATCGCAAAAAATGAAAACTTAGTGTTTTTTGTGAGAAAAAAAAAATCAATTTTGATACGTCACCATATCATGTCATCATGTCACGTTATCAAAACTGACACATCATCATGCCACATCAGCATGTAACCTGGTTAACTGGTCAAGTGGTCAGAATTGTAACAAATTGCAAAAACATAGTGCCAAAATTGACACAAAAAAAAACACGGTGTCAAAATCAAATTTCTGTGTAAAAAGAGTGTTTTTTTGTGCCATTTACCCTTTAATTATTAGACATTACTTAGATCGAGATGTCAAAGTGTGAAATCAAATTTTCATTGGCGTCTAATTAGCTCTTGATTAAGCGCTTCCTACTACCCTTTTGTTGTGGACTAATCATGTTAATGGATCAAATGTCACCCAAATAACATAATGCTTACAACCAGTGTTGTAAAAATTGGCCTAGGTAGTCGATTAATCGACACCTAGGCGCTAAGCGGACTGCAACTAACCACGTTTATGTGTAATCGCTCAAGATAATCGGGGCTGGTCAACACCGGTCAAACTCGGAGTTAATCGGATATAATCGGATCTAGGAGGATTAATGGGTCAACTTCGGTCAACGGATTTTTTTAGGGCAAAATTGTAAAAACTGGAATCTTTTTGCTAGGGTTCGTTCTCACTTCGCTCGTTTTCGTCCCTGTGAAAAAGTTTTCTATGGATTCTCTCTCGACTCAAAGCTGAAATCGGAGAAGTGGAAGCTCGCTCTCGCCATCGCCTCTTACTGCCGAAATTTGTGAAATCTGCCATCATCGCTGTTAGAGACGCATTTGTCTTCCGTGTTCCTACAACAGTTAGCCTAATCTACACAGGTTAGTTTTTTAAACATGATTTATGCTA